CAACAAGTACAGCCAGGAAGGAAGTCAGCTCTGTAATAAGACAGGCTTAAGGACAGGTTTAATGTAACTACAAACAAGAAAAGGTGGAAACGGAAGAAAAAAATGTGCATTGAGTTTAAGACACTGTAAAACTCAGAAGACGTATTTACTCTTCAAGTATAAACTCAGTAAGGACTTGGCATTAATTGAAAGACAGCTACTGAGGTACACCATTATAAAATAAGTTCTATGAATTTACAAGTCTATCTTCCAATTTTCTCGGAGAAAAAAAACCAAACTCTTGAAGGTCTCAGAGACCCTGAGAGGGATTAATTAACACTTTTGATGAAGACATAGTCAATAATCAATGATTGAGCTTACTATTTAAAAACATGTATTTATTGAAAACAATAGTGATGTGTTCTCAGACTGTCCTCTAGAGTTTTTGAGACTATTAGTTCAAGAGTTTTAAAGTATATTACTTCCAGAAACAATACTGATTTAAAAAAATTTTTTTAAAACAAAAAACCTGATTCGATGGTACTTTAAAAATACCCTAAAATACAAAATTTTCTTCAGTCTAACATTACAATTAATGTTGGAATTCCTCCCGCATTGTTAAAACATTTTTTCCCTCATAAAATGTGGGTACTGAAATTGGATAGAAACACCATGAATATGAAAATACCACCAATTTTCTGCCATTAAAAAAAAACTAGAATTTTCTTTGGAATCACTGAAATACAAAAAAAAATTGGGTTTGTTTCTACAGTCTGTGCACCTTCTTTGAGGTCTTCCATGTTGCCGGAAGTATGGACCTGGGTAATTCTCATTTCATAGATTCAAGTCTTTGCAGTACAACATCCACACGTAACACACCAGTGTCTCTCTTCCACTGGGAAGTTATGCTTACCCCAGAAACGTCGTCATTTACTTTTCTAATGATTTCTGCCCAAAATAAAAACCTCAAACTATGAGGCAAAGCATCCTGTGTTAAACAATCAAATGGAGCCAGCATGGAGAACTCTGGTGTGGTTTCAGCACTCAAGAGGGCACTGTTTCCTGTGGATTTCATGGAAGAATGACCGGCCTAGCTGGTAGCATTCAGCTTTCCTTGGCCTAAAACGAAATTTCTCAGGGCTGGCAAGTTGTGTTAGATTCTAAGAGAATTTTGTCTTTGACAAATTACCATTTTAGCATAAACTCTGGCCATGGCTATAAGTTTCAATGTGCATATGACTGATTCGAGATGCTGTTTGTTTGTTTTTCTTTTCAACATTGGCTGGAATTGAGTAGAAACAAGTCCATGATACTTTTTCACGTGTGTCATGAAATATGAGAAATCTGTCTGACTCTAGACACTATTTCTTTACGACACAATGGGCAGGTCTCCAGTTGCAAGGCACAGTCCATGCACAGGTCACTAAGGAGAGGGACAGAGATGGAAGTAAGTCAGTGCTTCAAAGGTTCAGACCCCGACCACCTTCCAATTAGATTTAAAATGTTACCAAGTTGATTGACAGGGTATAGTAATTATACATGGTTAAAAAAAAAAAAA